TAGATTGTGCAATTTGTACGGTTCAATTGAAACTAAGCCGGTTGAGCCATTTAAGCTACTTATGTGTTTTTGTCTAGTTAAACCATTCCAGCTAGCTCTGAATTTTGTCCACTCGAATAATTTTAGCTTGATTGACCATTTGAACTAGTCTAACCTGTTGACACAGATTCCGTAGACTGTGCAGTTACACTGTTCGCGATAGTTTGACTATTTTACTGTTTGAACTATTTAACCTAGCTATGCATTTTGTCCAGTTGAACCTTTTATGCTAGTTTGATCATTTGAACTACTGCAACCAACGGAGTTAGAATTGTTAAGTCTGTGTACTTAGCTATCTTTGCTGGTTTAACTATTTCATCACATGGTAAAACTTTCAAAAAGAGCTGACCTGCACAAATTGCACAATCTATCTTAACTGGTTGATTTAGTTCACATGCGCAAACTAGCTTGTATTGTTCAAGGGGACAAAATGCATAACTATGCACCTGGTCTACTTGAACAATTTAAGCTTGATTGACTATTTGAACCAGTCTAACCTGTTGTGTAAGTTGTGCAGCTATACTGTTTTCCATAGTTTGACTATTTCACTGTTTGAACTATTTAACCTAGTTATGCATTTTGTCCGGTTAAGCCCCTTAAACTGGTTTGACCATTTAAACTACTTGTGTATTTAAACCTAGCTCTGAAATTTCTCTTGTTGACCCGTTTAAGTTAGATGGACTATAGAATTTTTATAACCAATTAAGATAGATTGTGCAATCTGCTTGACTGCTTTTCCTAGTTTGCCTATTTGACCAGTGAAACCATTTTAGCTAGATTGTGCAGTTTGTGCAGTAACGCCGATTTGTGCATACAACTGTCTTCGCCGGTTGGACTATTTACTTGGTTTAACTGATTAAGCCACTTTGATCATTTAACTTCTTAAACAAATTTGGCTACATTTGGCGTTTGTGCACTTCAAAGAATTGAAGGTAGTTCGACCATTGCACTACTTCAAGCAGTTTGGCTGTCTTCCCTAGTTTGACTTTTTAACCGGTTAACCAGACTGTGCAATTTGTGCAGTTTAACTATTTAACGAGTATCTAGTTAGTTATGCCTTTTTTGTGGTTTAACCAATTAACGAACTTTGAGCATTTGAACTACATCGACCATTTCAGTTAGATAGAGCATTTTGTGCACTCTTACTGTTTTCGCTAGTTTAATCATTTAACCACTTTAACCAGTTCAATTAGACTGAGACGTTTGTGCAGTTCAACCTATCAAGCTGGTTATGCATTTTGTGCTCTGCAACAATTGAAGCTTATGTGACCATTTGACCCTGTTCAACCAGCTGAGAAAGATAGTGAAATTTATCGACTTTAGCAGTTTTCGATAGTCTTAGTAACTAGTAAAATGGTTGAACCTGCAAAGATAGCAAAATACACAAATTCAACAATCTATCTCAGTTGGTTGAAGTACATCAAATGATCAAACTGCCTTAAATTGGTTCTACTGAAAAAAATGCATAACCAGCTTAGTTCATTTAACTGCACAATCTGGACATTCCTGCTGAAATGGTTTAACTCGTTTAACAGTCAAAGGTCAACTGAGACGAAAACTGCACAATCTTTCTCAACTGGTTGGAGTACTTTAAATTGTCAATGAAACTAATTAGGAATGACTACAACAAAATACTTAATAAATAATTCGTCACAAGTAAACTACTTGTACTGTTGCTCAAAAACATCAACCATATAACACATATCTATGATAATATTATCTACAGTTTTCAATTGGTCCAAATAACTCTCGTTATCAAATGACACTCCTCTTAAGAAAGACCTTAAATCAGTGACTGTGTTCATATAGATAGTAAAAGCAAATCAGCATAATTCGATCTTCTTGAAATCTTTAATGTCTCAGTACGTTTTTTAATCATGTCAAACCACTACCAAGTATAATCCAAGTAGGATAGGAATCGTTGTTACCTTTCCAGCTATAGAACCACCTACTGTTAAACAAGACGATGACAAATTGCATACCAGATTTAGTTTCTTGGACCCCTGGCCTTTTTGTAACAATCGAAGCTGCCTATGATAGTATTTGTATGATGTAACTTCATTTATTGCGTTTTTGTCTATTGAGTTATCTGTATGATTGAAGTTTATAACACGTCTCTTCTTGAAGCTCACATATAATATTTTTATTAGTCAGATATTTTTTTCTTATCATCAATTGTGCGCAAAGCTCAGCATTGAGAGTGTCATTATCTACAACGAGTGATATGAAATGACCGGTAAATGTTCCAAATATTCCAAAAAATGTAACGTCTACCTATTTATTGTGTGTATTTTGTGTCATTACATTGCATCGCTTGCTAATGGCTCCAGAAGTATCATATGCTTTGTAGTAGAAATGTTTTGGAGGCCCCTTGCAACCATATCTTTAATGAAATTCATATGTTCCAACCACATCGAACGTTAATTTCTCGTTGCATAGTGTGAAATGTAAATCATTGAAAACTGCATATTTTGATCTTGACTATTAGAATTTGGTTTCATTTTTATTATTATGACCCATTTCATAATTAAACAAGTATACAGGTACGAACCTAATGTTTCTCCTTGTTTAACACCATCCACATATGATTTGTTTGCTGTATCATTACTATTTGTTGGCGTAACTAAATTGATTTTTCATTGGACATATTAAAATCAGCGCACATTGGTTTTGTTCAATCAGTTTGCAATAAATTGTTTGTTGATGTGTCCACATATGATTTATTCAGAGCATCATTGGCATCAATTGGGGTGGCTAAATGGAGTATTTTACTACTAGCCATAATGAGATCAGTAGCCATTGTAGTCTTTCCATCAGACCAAATATCTATTCAGAGTGCCATTAGTTATTTCAAACTTTTTATCCCACACACTACGTAGAACATCGCTACGATGTCCTAAGATGCCATAAACTATGACACGAATGACGAAATCCTGTGCATAAGCCCCACCTGACCTTTCCTTCAATACTAAATCCGGATCAATGCTGCCATCTGGGCACGGCACAAGAAATCGAGTATAACGAGGACGTTGAAAAGAACGAGCGCGTTTTACACGAGATCGTGTATAACGAGGACATTAAAAACAACGTGCTCGTTATACACAAGATCGAGTATAACGAGGACGTTAAAAAGAACGTCCTTGTTTATTCGATTTCAACGTGCAGTGAGCTCGATGCCAACGATCTTTCATACCATCGTGTCCGTTATCTAACAACGTGCTCGATTTTAGCTTTTCCAGCATTGTTGATAGATCATTTACGATGCGAGCCAAACGGTGGCGATGCATTATCACCCTCCTTACTCTGGCTCCAGAAGCGCAGTTAGACGTTTCGTTTGGACAGAGGTGTAAGCTTAGTTGATTCCTCGCAATCTTTTCAGGGCATGTATTGCACTGCACAGGAAATCCGCCACACCGTTTCTGGTGGGTTAAGATATCCTCTGCTATCAGCGAACTTTTGCAATATTCACAAGTGGAATTTAAAGCTCTTGCTGCATTTCTGAGAGCGATGTTTGGAATGTAACATAACAGAGTAGTATTGCACACTGGACATCTTGTCGCAACTTGTTCCTCTTGTCTGCTATGGCACGAACCGCAAATGTAATGGCCACACTTTGACACCAAGTAGCAAGTTATCATCAGCTCGTAACTAAAACAGTTTTTAAAACATCAGTGCATTAGGCTGATGAATAGTGGACATGTACACTCATCTATATCCAAACTTCATTGTGTCGCAGAGGTGAATAACCTAAAATCAAACAGAAAATTTTAGAGACGGTTTTCAATAGGTCATTTACAATGTGTGTATGACATATTGCCAATAATAAACACAATTCACGACAAATATTTTGAACGTAGTGGAGAAATGCATGGAAGCTAGGAAGAGTGTCATAGAGATTAATTGCCTGGCGGTCAGAAATTTCTCGAAAATATCTACGAAATGCTCAATTCTAATTGGTTCAAAGCATTGTAACTTCGTTTAGAATTGTCAAGCGATTCATAAAAGGCAAAGGACTTCGCAGCGGACTATTTTGCGAGCTTCCGTGAAAAAGCACCACACATTCAGTTTGACAGTATTTGACGAGTGAACTTTGCCCATTGTTTTAATTAAGATCACAAGAACCGACCAGATCACACTTCAGAGTGAGATGAAATGTAGCATAGTATAATAGCTGTACCCCATTGTAACAATCGATCTTTCACCGTTTGCTTTCGGTCGAACTCAATAATAATTGTCTGTACGATAGCGCAATTTCTCTGATTTCGGTTGGATAACACCGGAAGTACGACAGCTAGTTCTGTGGTTAGCGAGTCAAAAATGCCAATTGTTTTGACGACAGAAAATGGAGTTTCTCGTATTCGTGGCAGGAAATTCACTCAAAGTTTCCACTGAGTCCTTGATAGTAGCAAGCAACACTTCTTTCCCGCAACAGGAGGAGTTGAAACATCGCATTTAAAATGAAAAACAAAACCGAACAACGCTAATTAAAATAAGACGAACCGAACTACTTTCAACGTCGAAAATGGTGCCGTTCATATAACCTTTCGGATAGACCGTTCTAACACCAAAAACCCCTTGCTCTGCAGGCTATCATCTCAGCATACTCCCTCATTCAAGTGTCACCTTTGATCCATGAAAAAAGCTTGCTTTCTCTTCCAATAGACCGCGTGAATTTCCAATTACTCTATTCCCTGGCCACACTTAACAGAAAACGCTGTCAAGGTAATCAAAGTACACGCCCAAATTTAGGAGCCAGTTGACATAAAATCAAACGTCCCCCGTCTCCTCATCTAATCAGTGCAAAAAGTCAGAAAAACCGAGATTTGCTCAAAAGGAAATCGAACATGTCTGAAGACCACCTTTCTGCTCCACTCAATGAATCTGAAGTAGATTCTCGTATTCGTAGCGAACACTTAAAGAAAGCTAACCCTAACCCTAAGGCCTCAGCCATGCTATAAAGGTGGCAAGGTAAAGTAGACAGAAACACATCTGTCACAAGAACGTTTTTTCACTTGCGGCAAGAAGATGCCTCGATGAAAGCAATTCCTCGAAGATCGCGTATGGAAACTCTGATACAGGAAAGGAGACTAAGGAACATTCAATTCTCTACCAGACACACCTCTGGTGAAATTGCAAATCTACTGGCGACGAATATTCCAACTCTGGCGGGAGTAAACCTCTCAATGTATTTTCTTTAAGCACGTTTTCAATGTTCACGCTTCATATACAGTAACATTTTGATCAAGACATTGAAATTTTCACAAGTTTTGTCTTCTAATTTTCTGTCTCTGGATATGACAAGTTTACAAAATTGCCAGGTATCTTTCAAAGGGGGTAGATAAAGGCAGACATTGTGAATTTAGGGTGAATTTAATTACTCGCTATGAACGTGCTGTGCTACACAGCAGCAGCACGACTTTGTTTCAAATGAAGGGAAACGAAAGGTGATTCCTCAGAAAAAAAAGTTATTGAACAATTTTTTTAGCTTTCTTTAAGTGTTCGCTACCAATGTCTGCCTCGAAAAATATAATGATGGGAAAGATAGGTAAGAGATGGGGCAAATCTTACCCCACTTATGCCTGAACTGGTACTAGCTCATCGGTTCACGGTACATTTTGCGGTAGCTGGAAAAAAGGGTTTTTATAGTAACATTTGAGAACAAAAAACTTGATAGGTATAGAAGGTCTCGAGAGTAAGGAACAATTTGAAACAAAAATTGTGGAAAAATTATGCAATTTTAAACGAAATAGACTCGAAACGTTCCTCGATTTTTATCTTAATATCTAGCTAAATTTGAATGCAAAAGTAAATATTTTAATATACTAACTAGTTAATCAATTAATTAGTAAAGTCCTGTTAAACGATGTCGACAACAATGCACTGAGGTTATAAATCACCCAGCAAACTTTGTGGTAGTGGCGCCGGCGTCCGACGGACGGCCTCACAAATGGATACAATATTCAAAATTCACTCAGACAGAGGATAAAGAAACTGTTTATTGACTCTGGAGGTTAATTGTTACAAGTATCTAAAAAAGCAATGTGGCATGTGTACAGCTTGCGCTGAGCTTATAATTATCACCCACATTGAATTAATCTGTGATAATTTATTGGAGGAAAAACCCCATTTTAGATTGAAAATCCTAGACTAGCTTGTTTACTTTGCAATACCAATTTTTTTTAATACACCACGAAGAGCTCTTAACAGTGTTTGAATTTTTTTGAGTCGTCATTCAGTTGTGGTAGTTGTTTCAGTTGCAATATATCCCTTTCCTGAACACCCCAATCACTGAAGGCATTTCTAAAATGAAGCACTGATTGGGAAGTATTTGCATAAAGTTTACTTAAGATATTTACCTTTCACAACTTTTGATCATATGTAAAACTTTAAATTTAAAGTACATGTAAATGTTCCATTTAAAATTTTGTAGCTCACATTTTCAACAATCCCATCATAATTGCTCAAATTGTTGTTCTATTGATAGCATTGTTAACTGCAGTAACATCTGCAGTGACAACTGCATTAACATCATCTGTAACATCAACAGCAAGATCACCAGTAACATCAACAGTTACCTTGGCAACAGTGACACCTACTGTTGCACCATCACTATCTGTAGCTGGTCCTTTGCCATTAGGAAGAGATGCTAAAGTTATAGCTTGCCCTGGCCTCTTAGACAGCTGTTTGGTCTTTGTGGCACACAACAGATCACCTTGTGTGTCACATATGCTCGAACGTGTTGGTGAAGATCCACGTCCCCTAAGTGGTGCCTATGTCTTTATTCTGCAACAAGCTGGTGTTACCAAACGCCAAGTCATTGCTGCGTGGTTGTCAGGTATATGATGTTGTTGGTGCATGCCTCCATGTTCCGTTAGAGGAAAGTGACCAGCCTTGATACATTAATAGTCTAATTTTCTTATCACTAGGTGATAAATTGAAAGCAGAGGAAGTAGTCAGACCACACCACAGTGAACCTCCGCCATGTAAAGGCCATCTCTCTACAAAGGTATACCTACAGTAAACTTCATGTATTCTAAACTTTCTTCTATGTAATTTATTAACAAAGGAAAACAACAGGTCAAGTCTTTTCTATGCAGTAAAGTAAATGGAGGTTGTTTCTTACATAATCCTAAATATGCAGGTTGTTCTCTCATTATGGTATTTGACAGTTACAGCATTGGGTAGGGCATGCTGCGGCAGCAGTAGCAGCAGAAGTAGAAGCAGATGGATGCGCTTTTTCCGAATGCAAGCTTTCTTTTCCGCAGGTACTTAACTAAGACTAACTTAGTTAGTTATGTATGGCAAAAGTTTCTTTTTTTTCTGTCTTTTTTTTAATTCGTGATATGACACCACACGAAGTTTTGGATGAACAGGACCAGACGAAGGCTAAACTGGAGTATTCGTACCAAAGTCAAATTGAGGTGGCTAATTCAAGTTTCCAGCATTTGCAAAGTTTAAAAATTTGTCAAGAAAAACTAATTAAGCGACCTACTTGTAACAATCTGAAGGCCACTGAATAATACTTTCTTTCAGAGACAAGAACACCATATCTCCGTGAAGTTGGTCAAACCCTCCGGAAACATCATTGTTTTGACGGTAGACAATTCAAGATGCGTTGGGGTGAGCCAACTAATAGGAATTGACCATTTACTTCAACCAGTTGAGATAAATTGTACAATTTTTCCTAGTTGACTTTAGTATGACTGTTAAACCAGTTGAATTATTTGAGCTAAATTGTTCAAATTGTGCAGTTAAATGGATTACACTAGTTATGCACTTTGTTCAGTTGAAGTATTGAAGCTGGTTTAACCATGTGAATTACTTCGACCAATTGAGCCAGAATGTGTAGTTTGTGCAGTTCTCCCTATCAAGCTACTTATGCATTTTCTCCAGTTATAACATTTAAGATTGTTTGACCATGTGAACTACTTCCAACAATGATATAGATTGTGAAATTTGTATAGTTAACTGTTATCACTTGATTGATATTTATACGGTTGAGCCATTTAAGCTACTTATGCATTTTGTTGAGTTTAACCACTCAACTAGCTTTGCATTTTGTCCATTCAAACAATTTCAGATTGATTGAGCATCTGAATTAGTCTAATCAAATGACAGATTATGTAGACTGTACAGTCATACTGTCTGTGATAGTTTGACTATTTCACCATTTGAACTATCTGACCTAGTTGGGCATTTTGTCCAGTTGACCATTTTAAGCTTAGTTTAATCATTTGAACTACTGCAACCAACGGAGATAGAACTGTTTAGTTTGTGTCAAACTATCTTATGTTGTTCAACCGGACAAAATGCATAACTAGCTTCATAAATTCATCTGCACAAACTTCTCAATCTAGTTAAGCTGGTGAAACTGAACTAAAACAGTAAGAGTGCACAAATTCCACTATCTATCTCAAATGGTCGATGTAGTTCAAATGGTCGAACTAGGTAAACTAGCTCAACAGGAAACAATGCCATCAACTGCACCAACTGCACAATCAAGCTTAATTGGTTAATAGTCAAAGTCACAATAAACGACAATAGTCACAATAAATCACAATAGTCACAAATTTCATAATCTACGTTAATTGATAAAGTTGTTTAAATGGCCATACTAGCTTAAATGGTTCAACTGGTTAAATAGTCAAACTAGGGAAGAAAGTTGGATTCTAGGAAAGGTTAGATATTATATGATTAAGCCAGTGCAAAATTACCGCGCAATAACTGAAACACAACATCATTTATATCTGGTAAATTTGCCTTAAAATCTCCAAGTAGTATAATCCTACCTTAAATAGTTAAACCACTTAGTAATGCACTTTGTGCAATTGAACCATTCAACTACTTCAAGAAATTAAGAAAGATTTTGCAATATCTGTAGTTTAACTGTCTTCCCTTGTTTAACCATTTTACTAGTCGAATCATTTAAAATAGTTGTCCAATTTAAATACTTTAAGACATTTAGCTAGCTAGTTAAGATAATCAAACTAGATTAATTAGTTCATATGATTAAGTAGTCAAAGTCACTTCACAAATTCTATGATGTCTCTTAATTGATCGAGGTAGTTTAAAACAGTCAAACTATCTCATATGACAAAATGATGCTAGCTGAAGCGGTTGAATTGTACAAAGTGCATATCATACTTATGCATTTTGTTAAGTTGAATTATTTATGCTAATTTAACTATGTAAACTACTTCGACCAACTAACATAGATTGTGCAGTTTGTGCTGTTTAACTGTAATCACTCAATTAACATTAAGCTGGTTGAACCATTTAAGATACTCATTGGTTTTTTCCACTTTAACCATATCAGCTAGTTCTGAGTTTTGTGTTCTTGACCCGTTTAAGCTAGGTCGACCATTTAACGTTTTTAACCAATTAAGATATATAGTGCAATTTGCGTTGTTTATCTTCTTTTGCTAATTTGCCTGTCTAACCAGTTAGACCGTTTCAGCTAGATTGTGCAGTTTGTGCAGTTACGCCAATTAAGTTAATTACGCATTTTGTCCAGTTAAACTATTTAAGCTACTTTGACCATGTGAACTACTTCGACCAATTAAAACAACTTTTGCAATGTGTGCAGTTTCATTTGTGTCCGCTTGATTGACTAATTAAGCAGTAGAAACATTTGAGCCAGCTTGTGAAGTTGGTGCAGTTGAACTGATTAGGTTATTCACGCATTTTCTCATGTTGAACCATTTCAGAAAGTTACGCATTTTGTCATTTAAGCTAGTTTGACCATTTCTGAAGTAAAACCAACTAACCTAGCTTGACCATTTTAACAATTCGAACCAATTCAGTTAGACTGTGGAGTTTGTGCAGTTGAATTTATTAGCATAGTTGTGCATTTTGTCCACTTGAACCATTTTAGCCAGTTCAACCGAGTGTTGAACTACTGCAACGAATTAAGATTGGAGAAATTGTGCATATAATTGTCTTCGCTTGTTTGACTATTTAACTGGTAGAGCTAATTTAGCTACTTTGATCATTTTGACTTCTTAAACAAATTGGGCTACATTTTGCCGTTTTTAAACTTCAACTATTGAAGATAGTTCGACCATTGCACTATTTCAAGCAGTTTAGCTCTCTTCCTTAGTTTCGCTATTTAAGCAGTTCAACCATTTAAGCCAGTTATCCATTTTTTTTAGGCTAATTGTTGAACCTACAATTTGTGCACTCTTACTTTTTTTCGCTAGTTTGATTATTTAACCATTATAACCAATTAAACTAGATAGAGAAGTTTGTGCAGTTGAACCTATTAAGCTAAATAGGCATTTTTCCCTTCAGCAATTGAAGCTAGTCTGTACATTTGAGCTAGTTTAACCAGTTAAGATAGATTGTGCAATTTGTGCAGTTAAGTTATTTTGGATAGTCTTACTAACTAGTAAAATAGTCAAACCACCGAAGATTGCTAAATACACAACTAAAATAATCTGTCTCCATCGCTTGCAGTAGTTCAAATGATCAAACTGGCTTCAGTGGCTTAACTAAAAAAAAAATGCATAACTATCTTAATCACTTCGACTGCACAAAACTAACAATCTAGCTGAATTGCTTTTAAGTGGTTAACTAGTCAAGGTCAATTAAAAAAAATTTCACAACCTTTCTCAACCGGGTGGATTACTTTATATGATCATTTAAAATAGTCAAAGTATTTTAATTGATTCGACCTGTTAAATAGTCAAACCATGACAGACAGTTAAACTGCACAGATTGCAAAATCTTTCTTGATTAGTTGAAGTAGTTGAAATAGTTCAACTGCACAAATACTTCAGCTGCACAAAATGCATAACTAGCTTAAATGGTTCCATTGCATTAACTGCACAATCTAGCTTAAGTGGTTAAACTAGTTAATATAGTAGTAAAGTACTGGAGCCTTTTTACGCATATTTACCAGACATCAGTGATTTTGTGTTGTTATTATTGCGCGGTAATTTTGCGCTGCTTTTTTCATACAATACTTTTTATTTCGTGGAATCCATATGTTATTTTTAATCTTGGAAATTCTATGATTTTTATCTAAAGTATTGGTATACATGGAATCTCAGGATAAATATTTAAATGATAGTACTAGCATAGTGGTCAAGATAGTGATTACGTATATGATAGTCAAGACCATTATTCAGATATTGGTGATAGTTATGATAGTAGCTTGATAGATGATATTGAACTGAGTGACATGCTGATTACTTTAATGAGCAAGAGAAAATGTATACAAATCATTTATACATAATATGTATACAAAATATATGAGATATTATAATGATGGCAATACATTAGAAGCAGAAGTGGAATTACCTGATATGAGATATAATGTGAGGAAACCAATGATAACCCCTATCACTATATAATTGTATAATACTTTTTATTTCCTGAATCCATATGCTATCCTAACTTTGGATATTCCATGATTTTTGTGTGATGTATTGGTATACATGGAATCTCAATAAATACATTCAGATAATAGTAGTAATCATAGAAGTCAAGAGAGCGATTATGTGTATGATGGTCAAGACGATTATTCAGATAGTTGTGATAATAGCTTTATATATGTTAGTGAACTGGACGATGATGCTCATTACTTTAATGACCAAGAAAATATTTATGTAAAATATCTATACAAAATATACAAGATATGTTAATGATGGCAATATATTAGAAGCAGAAGAGGAATTACATGATATGAATATAATATAAGGAAACAAAGAATAACCCCAATACCATTTAAACATACAATATCTATGTAATATAATAATATTATGTATTGCAATAAAATAATTCAAGATGAATTAGATGAAGCAATGTGTCCCTTCTGTTAAAGGCAAATAAAGGAACGATCA